TCCCCGCTTCAAAACTCCTGGTCCTACTTCTTCCCCACCAAACTCCTAACTGCTCTAAAAATGGGTGCTGTCTTCTTCCCTTTGGCTCTGGCTCCACCCATATCCAGCTACTGCCTTCCTCCCTCCCTCCCTCCCTCCCTCCCTTCCCTCCTTTCTTCACTCCCTTCTTCCTTCCTTCCTTCCTTCCTTCCTTCCTTCCTTCCCTTCCTTCCTTCTTTCTTTCCTTCCTTTTTTCCTTCCTTTTTTCCTTCCTTCCTTCCTTCCTTCCTTCCTTCCTTCCCTTCCTTTCCTTCCTTCCTTCGTTCCTTCGTTCCTTAGAATCATAGAATCATAGAATCAAAGAGTTGGAAGAGACCTCATGGGCCATCCAGTCCAACCCCCAGTCTTTCCTACCTTTTTCCTTCCCTCTTTCCTTCCTTCATTCTTTCCTTCCTACCTTTTTTTCCTTCCTTCCTTCCTTCCTTCCTTCCTTCCTTCCTTCCTTCCTTCCTTCCCCCCTCCCTCTTTCTGTCTTAAGTTCCTTCCCTCTTTCCTTCCTTCCTTCCTTCCTTCCTTCTTTCCCTCCCCCTTCCTTCCTTCCTTCCTTCCTTCCTTCCTTCTTTTCTTCTTTCCTTCCTTCTTTCCTTCTTCCCCTTCCTTCCTTCCTTCCTTCCTTCCTTCTTTTCTTCTTTCCTTCCTTCTTTTCGTTCTTTCCTTCTTCCCTCCCTCCCTTCCTTCCCTCTTTCCTTCCTTCCCTCCCTCCCTCTTTCCTACCTTTTCCTTCCCTCTTTCTTTCCTTCCCTTCCTCTTTCCTACCTTTTCCTTCCTCTTTCCTTCCTTCCTTCTTTCTTTCTTTCCTTCCTCCTTTTTTCTTCCTTCCTTCCTTCCTTCCCTCCCTTCCTTCCTTTTTTCCTTCCCTCTTCTTCCTTCCCTTCTTTCCTCCCTTCCTTCTTCCCTTCCTTCCTTCCTTCCTTCCTTCCTTCCTTCCTTCTTCCTTCCTTCCTTCTTTCTTCCTTCTTTCCTCCCTTCTCTTCCTTCCTTCCTTCCTTCCATCCTTCTTTCTTTTCTTCTTTCCTTCCTTCTTTTCATCCTTCTTTCCTTCTTCCCTCTCTTCCTTCCTTCCTTCCTTCCTTCCTTTCTTCCTTCTTTCCTTCCCTCCCTCCCTCTTTCCTTTTTTCCTTCCCTCTTTCCTTCCTTCCCTCCCTCTTTCCTACCTTTTTCCTTCCCTCTTTCCTTCCTTCGTTCCTTCCTTCCTTCTTTCCTTCTTTCCTTCCTACCTTTTTTCTTCTTTCCTTCCTTCCTTCCTTCTTTCCCTCCCTCTCTCTTTCCTTCTTCCCTTCCTTCCTTCTTTCCTTTTTCCCTTCCCACTACCTACTACGGCTATAAATCATGGTGAATTCTCCCGAAACCTCTCTAGTATTACCCTTAGGTCATGGGGGTTCTGTGTGCCAAATGTGATCCAGGTCCATTGTTGGTGGGGGTCACAGTGCTCTGATTTGATGCAGGATGAACTACAACTTCCGTCATGTGGAGTCAATCCCCCACCTCCAGTATGTTTATTGCTGATTAGTTCTGTTCTGTTTGTTGTGCAAGAGGTGAAAAGAGTAGGAAAGGGTTAAGGGAGAGGCAGTGGGCGGGATCATGCAAATTCCACACCAATGGAGAGAGTAAGAAACACTGGGATGTCTGTGGTGGAGGAAACAAATAAATTCTAGGAAGGAATTGTCCCCGAACGAAAGCATTTCTTGGGTGGTGGACAGTATGGTGTTCGGGGAGGACGTAAGCAGGGTTTGGGCTACTCGCTATAACCTGAAATGTCATTGGAGGGAGGGATTTTGGTGGCTTCTCAGCACTGTGGGTTAAAGCTGTTTGCTGAAGTGGGAGCCTGTCTGTGGAAGTGGGTCCACCAGCCGCACACATGCATACACATTTTCACTTTTATTATGGACTAGCTTGGGGACCCGGCGGTGCCTGGGTTATTTGAGAAAGGCATTTTGTGCCGAGGTTGGTCTTTATCAGTTATTTATGTGGTTCGCAATGGCTTCGGGAAGTTAGTGAAGCTACTGGAAGCCCCATCATCCATGGTCCATCCACCTCCAAACAGCACCAGGATGTAGAGTGGGTCATGGGGACTCTGTGTGCCAAGTGTGGTCTTGATCAGTCATTGGAGGAGGGTCGCAGTGATCTCAGGAAGTGAGTGAAGGTTCTTAGTCCCATCATCTGTGGTTCATCCTCCTCCAACCTGCACCAGGATGTAGAGTAGGTCATGAGAGCTCTGTGTGCCAAGTTTGGTCTTGATCAGTCATTGGAGGAGGGTCGCAGTGATCTCAGGAAGTGAGTGAAGGTTCTTCGTCCCATCATCTGTGGTTCATCCTCCTCCAAACTGCACCAGGATGTAGAGTAGGTCATGAGAGCTCTGTGTGCCATTGGATGAGGGTTGCAGTGGTCTCTGAAAGTGAGTCGAAGTACTGCAAGTCCCTCCTCCAAACTGCAGTAGGATGTAGACCCCTTCTTTAGGGGTCCCTTTCACATCTATGATACTATATCTGTAAGTGTGTGTGAATCATATTTATCTATCTATATCTATGGCTGGATGGCTCTTTGTCAGGAGGGGTTTGATTACGTTTTCTTACCCTGGTGAAGGGAGCTGGACTGGATGGCCTTAAATATTTTCTGTTGGTCGTGGGGGTTCTGTGTGGGAAGTTTGGCCCAATTCTGTCATTTGTGGGGTTCAGAATGCTCTTTGATTGTAGGTGAACTATAAATGGCAGGAACGACAACACCCAAATGTCAAGGTCTATTTCCCTTAAACTCCATCTGTGTTCATATTTGGGCATATGGAATATTCGTGCCAAGTTTGGTCCAGATCCATCATTGTTTGAGTCCACAGTGCTCTCTGGATGTAGGTGAACTACAACTCCCAAACTCAAGGTCAATGCCCACCAAACCCTTCTAGTATTTTGTATTGATCATAGGAGTCCTATGTGCCACATTTGGTTCAATTCCATCGTTGGTGGAGTTCAGAATGCTCTTTGATTGTAGGTGAACTATAAATCCCAGGAACTATAAATAACAAACTCAATTTTTTGAGTGATGGTCACTCCTTGGGTTAGAAGGTGTCTTGTGTCCAAATTTGGTGTCAATTCCCCCAGTGGTTTTTGAGTTATGTTAATCCCACAAACGAGCATTACATTTTTATTTATATAGATTACTAGCTGTCCCCTGCCACGCATTGCTGTGGCCCAGTCTGTATATATGTGTGTTGTGTGTATGTATATGTTTTTCTGTGTGTATATATTTGCATATATGTGTGTTTGCATATATATTGTATATGTAGGTGTATATATGTGTGTGGATATATATTTGTGTGTTTATATGTGTGTATGTATATTGTGTATATGTGTGTGCTTGTCTATATGGATATTTATGTATATGTGTGCATGTATGTGTATATGTATAGGTGTTTGCATGTGTATATGTATGTGGTGTGTGCATGTGTATATGTGCATCTGTTTGCACGTGTAAATGTATGTGGGCATTTGTGTATACATATATATGTGTATGTATATATGTATATCTGTGTGTGCTTGTGCATATATATACATGTGTGTATATATGTGTGTTTGCATATATACTGTATATGTGGGTGTATATATGTGTGTGTGGGGGTATATATTTGTGTGTTTATAGGTGTGTATGTATATTGTGTATATGTGTGTGCTTGTCTATATGCATATTTGTGTGTATATATTTGTGCATGTATATGTATAGGTGTGTGCATGTGTATATGTATATGTGTATGTATGTATGTGGGCATTTGTGTATACATATATGTATGTATGTATGTATGTATATATGTATATTTGTGTGTGCTTGTGCATATATATACGTGTGTATGTGTGTTTGCATATATACTGTATATGTGGGTGTATATATGTGTGTGTTTATGGGTATATATTTGTGTGTTTATATGTGTGTATGTATATTGTGTATATGTTTGTGCTTGTCCATATGCAAATTTGTGTGTATATATTTGTGCATGTATATGTATAGGTGTGTGCATGTGTATATGTATATGTGTATGTATGTATGTGGGCATTTGTGTATACATATATGTATGTATGTATATATGTATATTTGTGTGTGCTTGTGCATATATATACGTGTGTATATATGTGTGTTTGCATATATACTGTATATGTGGGTGTATATATGTGTGTGTGTATGGGTATATATTTGTGTGTTTATATATGTGTATGTATATTGTGTATATGTTTGTGCTTGTCTATATACATATTTGTGTGTATATTTGTGCATGTATATGTATATGTATAGGTGTGTGCATGTGTATATGTATATGTGTATGTATGTATGTGGGCATTTGTGTATACATATATATATGTATGTATATATGTATAGTGTGTGCTTGTGCATATATATACGTGTGTGTATATATGTGTGTTTGCATATATACTGTATATGTGGGTGTATATATGTGTGTGTGTGGGTATATATTTGTGTCTTTATATGTGTATATATGTGTGCTTGTCTATATGCATATTTGTGTGTATATATTTGTGCATGTATATCTATATGTATAGGTGTGTGCATGTGTATATGTATATGTGTATGTATGTGGGCATTTGTATATACATATGTGTATGTATATATGTATATTTGTGTGTTCTTGTGCATATATATATGAGTGTGTGTGTATGAATGTGGTGGCATGTGTATATGTATATGAGCATATGTGTATTTGTATATATGGTGTATTTTGGGGGGGGTTAAGTCTGTTCCGCTGGGGTTTTGTGTGTGTGTGTGTGTGTGTGTGTTTTTAGGGGTGAGGGACTCTCACTGGTCTGTTAGGAGTGTTGTGTCCAAATTTGGTGTCAATTTGTCCAGTGCTTTTTGAGTTATGTTAATCCCACAAACGAGCATTACATTTTTTTATTTATATAGATTATTATTAATGTTCCTTATTAATCATGTTTACTTTTCTGCCTTTCCTTCTCCTAAAGGTGACAACGAGATTGTGAATAACATGTATGAAACCGAGGTGGACCTCCTAGCCGGCGAGAGCGCAGAAGAGGAGACCGAGGACAGCATCATGTCCCCCATCCCCGTTGGGCCGCCCTCGCCTTTCCCCGCGGGCGAGGACTTCGACCCCAAAGAAGGCTCCCCCTACGAAGCCCCCGTCTACATTCCCGATGACATTCCGATCCCTACAGACTTTGAACTGAGGGAGTCCTCCATTCCGGGAGCCGGGCTGGGTATTTGGACCAAAAAGAAGATAGAGGCTGGGGAGAGACTGGGGCCTTGCGTGGCTTTCCCTGGAACGGCACTGAAGGACACCAACTTCGGGTGGGAGGTAAGTCTGCGGTCACTGCGTCCATTTTGGTCGAGCGGCAATAATGTCCAAGAGAATGGCCTGTGCTGAATCGTAGCAAATTCTGGTCTGTAGAGGCCCATAAGAGATAGATTTACTGTTGTCAAAGCCTCGTGGTGATTCTGGATTGTAATTTAATCTTCCTGTTCCATCTCCCAAGAGCCTGATTTGCCTTACTTTAAAGTTGCTTGAGGTTGCTTCCTCTTGAATTTTCTCCCAGGGCTGCTGCAGCTTTGCAAGAGCCCTAAAGGTTAATAGTATCAGAGTCTCTTTGCAACTATTGGCTTAGAGAGCAGCTCTTTGAGGTTAGGGACCGCCTTTTCTCCCAGGGAAAGATCCCCATTTTAGATTCTCCCCTGTCTTTTCAGTTTGAGGAAAGACTTCAGACGTGCTGATGGCTAGGTAGTTCGCTCTGGGAAAACCATTGCAAAAACTATCTATATATATAAAAATGGAAAGGGCGTTCAACGGGACAGCAAAATGCGAAAAAACCCCGACGAAAACTCACCAAATTTGCCGTGCACATACCTCAACCCACAAGGTCAAAATTCCAAACAACATTTCAACAAACTCACAATTACAAAAACCAACTGAGCATGCGCAGTGCCCAGGGGAGGAAGTACACATGCAATGCACTCTGGGAACTGTAGTTCTAGAACGCGGCCTATCTGGGAGAGGGAAGGAAGGATGGAAATGAGGGGAAGGGGTGTAAATAGCAAGGAAGGAAAGAAGGAAAGAAAGAAGAAAAGTGGGAAGGGGAAGGGAAGGTGAAGGAAGGAAGGAAGGAGAAGTTGAGAAGGTATATGAAACAAGAAAGGAAGAAAAGAAAGAAGAAAGGGAGAGAAGGAGGATGGGAAAGAAGGGAGAAAGGAAGGAAGGAAGGAAGAAGAAAGGAGGGAAGGGAAGGTGTATGAAGGAAGTAAGGAAGGAGAAGTTGAGAAGGTATATGAAAGAAGAAAGGAAGGAAAGAAAGAAGAAAGGGAGAGAAGGAGAATGGGAAAGAACAGAGAAAGGAAGGAAGGAAGGAAGGAAAGGAAGGGAGGGAGGGGGAGGGAAGGTGTATGAAGGAAGGAAGGAGAAGTTGAGAAGGTATATGAAAGAAGAAAGGTAGGAAAGAAAGAATACAGAGAGAGAAGGAGGATGGGAAAGAAGGGAGAAAGGAAGGAAGGAGGAAAGGAAAGAAAGATAGAAAAAAGAAGAAAGGGAAGGGGAAGGGAAGGTGTCAAAAGGAAGGAAGGAAGGAAGGAAGGAAGGAAGGAAGGAAGGAAGGAAGGAAGGAAGGAAGGGGAATTTGGGAAGGGGAAGAGAGGAAAAAAGCGAAGGAAGAAGAGAAAGGGAGGGAAGAAAAGAAAGAAAGAAAAGGAAGTCTGGAAGTCAAGAGCGAAGGAAGGAAGGAAAGAAATAGAGAGGGAAGAAAGGAGAGAAAGAGAAAAAAAAAAAAAGGGAGGAGGAAGGAAAGAGGAAGAGAAGGAAGGAGGAGAGAAGGAAAGAAAAAAAGGGAAGGGAGGAAAGACGGAGCAAAGGAAGAAGAGAAAGAAGGAGAGAAAGAGGGAGGGAAGGAAAGAAATAAAGAGAAGGAAGGATGGGAGCAAAAAGCTAAGGAAGGAAGTAAACAGGTAGAGAAGGAAGAAAGGAAAGAAGAAAAGGAAATGAAGGAAGGAGTGAAAGGAGAGAAAGAGGGAGAGAAGGTTGGCCACAGCAACGCGTGGCGGGTAAAACTAGTACATTATAGATAAGTATTAAGCTATATTGAGTTAATATAGATAGTATATTGCGTATTGAGCTGTATTGAGATATTATAGACAGATAAGCTTAATTGAGAAGATTGAGTTATATAGTTATAGAGAGAGAGTCTTGACTGCTTTGTCTGCAGAACTAACCTTAAGTTATAGATAGAGAAAAAAACTGCTTTTTTTCTAAATCACAACAGCTTAAGGTTAGGGTGTTAAGATTCCAGGATTTTATCTGCCATCTGGAGAAAGGGGTACCTCTGTAACTAAAGAATATTTTTGTAGTTTTATCTATTGACTGTTTAATGTATTGTCGAAGGCTTTCATGGCTAGAATCACTGGGTTTCGGGCTATATGGCCATGGTCTAGAGGCATCTATGGCAAGCATCCTCAGAGGTATTGACTGTTTGTTTGCAACTTTGATGAACTGTGCCAAGTCTTCAAGGACTTTGAATAAATAAATATCCCTTTTTTGATGTTTAAGACCAGTAATAGTCTCAGTTGCTGAGTATCTCAAGCTTCTCAATATAGACACCTGCAGTTCACTCAGACATAGAGAGAAGCACGTCACAGTTTTATTTTTTATATCGTCTGGGCGGACGGCACACTTCCATTGTGAAGGCTGATGTGTCTACAGCTACTTTATACTTGCTTATTTGTGTTATGGAAACCTAGTTCTTGCAAATAGTGCAACTGTATTATTTTACTACAAAGAAAAGCCTCCTATGGAAGAGATGACATTGGTTGGTGTGTTTTGGTTGCACTTTGGGCAACTGGTATTGAGTCACGCTGCTGCTCATAAGTTACTCTGCTGTACCTTTACGAGGAGGGCCTTTTGGGTTTTTTAATTGGGTTTTGATTCAGAGAAAGAGTAAACATCGAAAGTGGGGGGAACAATTTCCAAATAGGAAAATTCAGAAGGAGAAAAGTAGGAAGGAAGGAGGCAAAAGTTTATGAGTTCCTCCCCCACAAACAATCTGCTCCATCCTTGTCTCATCTGGAGTTTTGGGGTACGATGTCACCTGTATGCAGATGATGTCCAACTCTGTCACTCCTTTCCACTTGCTACTAAGGAGGCTGTTGAGGTCCTGAACCGGTGCCTGGCCGCTGTAACGGTTTGGATGAGGGCGAACAAATTGAAATTGAATCCAGACACGCTCTGGTTACATCCCGTTTAGACTACTGCAACGCTCTCTACATGGGGTTGCCTCTGAAGACTGTACGGAAGCCGCAATTAGTCCAACGCTCGGCAGCCATGATATTAACAGGAGCGAAGCGCAGGGAGCATACAACTCCCCTGCTGCATCAGCTCCACTGGCTGCCGATTTGCTACTGGGCTCAATTCAAAGTGCTGGCGCTGGCCTTTAAAGCCCTAAACGGTTCTGGCCCAAGCTACCTATGTGAACGTATCTCTGTCTATGAATCCACCAGGACTCTAAGATCTTCTGGGGAGGCCCTGCTCTCGATCCCGCCTGCGTCTCAAGCACGGCTGGCGGGGACGAGGGACAGGGCCTTCTCTGTGGTGGCCCCTCGGCTGTGGAACGCCCTTCCCTTGGACATCAGATCAGCCCCTTCGTTAATGGTATTTCGAAGGAAACTAAAAACCTGGCTGTTTGAACAGGCGTTCAGATAAACGGTGCATATGTACATGGTGAATATAGGATACGGAAATTGGACGACGAATTGGATCATGATTCTATTTACGAGACGTTAATGTGTTGATATTGATGTGTTATTACCCTGTATATTATGTTGTTTAATGGTTTTTAAATTTTTTATGCCTGTTGGATTGACTTTTTTGCTCTTGTTGTGAACCGTGTTGAGTCGCCTATGGGCTGAGAAACTGCGGGCTGCGTTGCAGGGCTGAGAAAAGTAAATAAAATAAATAAATAAATAAATAAATAAATAAATAAATAAATCCATCAGGTCTCATCACTAGAATCAGTATCCAATCTCATTATCCATTATTCCGTGTTCCAATAATCAATCAGTCACACTGCTTAGCCAAATGCCTGTTCGAACATCCAGGTCTTCAATTTCCTCCGGAATACCAGCAAAGAGGGGGCCGATTTAATATCTGCAGAGAGAGCATTCCACAGCTGGGGGGGCCACTACTGAGAAGGCCCTATGTCTCGTCCCCGCCAGGCGCACTTGTGAGGCCGGCGGGACCAAGAGCAGGGCCTCCCCAGACGATCCTAACGTCCTAACTGGTTCATAGGAGGAGATGCGTTCAGACAGGTAAGTCGGGCCAGAACCATTTAGGGCTTTAAAGGCCAATGCCAGCACTTTGAATTGTGCTCGGTAGCAAATTGGCAGCCAGTGGAGCTGGCGCAACAGAGGAGTTGTATGCTCCCTGAGTGCCGCTCCTGTTAGCATCCTGGCTGCCGATCGTTGGACCATTTGAAGCTTCCGAGCAACCCCACATAGAGAGCGTTGCAGTAGTCTATACGGGATGTAACCAGAGCGTGGACTACCGTGGCCAAGTCAGACTTCCCAAGGTACGGGCGCAGCTGGCGCACAAGCTTTAACTGTGCAAATGCTCCCCTGGTCACCGCCGAAACCTGGGGTTCCAGGCTCAGCGATGAGTCCAAGATCACACCCAAGCTGCGAACCTGCGTCTTCAGGGGGAGTGCGACCCCGTCCAACACAGGCTGTAACCCTATACCCTGATTTGCTATACTGATGTAATTTTGCATTGATGCTATGTTTATTGATTGTGATGCTATTGTTTTAAAGGCCTATTGTCTGTACTATGTATACTGTTGAATTGTTGTAAACCGCTCCGAGTCACCTAAGGGCTGAGAGGAGCGGTATACAAACGAAGCAAATAAATAAATAAATAAATAGTTTTGAGAATTTAGTCCAATCTGCCTTTCTGAAGTTGTATCTTCGTTTAAATTGAACTTCCTGAGGCTTTATAGTTGGGAACAGTTGGCATACTATTGGTCGGTGCTGTGTGTTTGGTATTGGTGGTCCCACTGATTTGGTGCGTTGCTGTACAATGCTGTCGCTCACAAATAAGAGGTCTGGGTTATAACCTCGGTGCCATCTCCCGCTGTTGTAGGATGGTGGGAGCTTACTATCATGAATGAGCGATAGTTTGTGAAGTTCAGACCAGGAGAGGACAGCCTCTCCATTTCTGTCCTCTTGAGCATAGCCTCATACATGGCTATGGCTGTTGAAGTCACCCATTACTACCGCCCTTTGGTGCCTATCAAAGTTCTCGGGGGAGGAGAAGCAGAACTCTTCATT